CCCCCCAGGCTTCCCCCTCACACTCATTTGCCGCCCATTATCATAGTACCTGAGTACCTCACAATCACCAGCACCCTTCTCCTCCCTCATCGCCCTGGGACAGGGCTACTGTCCCCATGGGGCTGAGGGGACCTGAGGCACAGAGTGACTTGGACACACAATGAGTCTGTGTCAGACCAGGGGCTTGATCCCAGGTCTCCTGACTCATAGGCTAGTGCACAAACCAAAGGGCCTCCTTCAGCTACCAGCAGCTTCTTGGCTATGGTTCCCAGTAGCCCTGAGAGCCCAAGCGCTAGCCAGGCACTACAGTGCCCCTCACTTTAGCAGCATGTGGGTGGGGTGGGCTCAGTTTCCCTTGCAGAGTCAGCTTCTCACTTTCTCCTATGGTTTGTGTGGACCATTCACCCAGCAGCCAGGCAGAGACCCCGGGCAGAAGGCAGGGAGACGTGGCTGTGATGCCCCCATGCACAGGGGCACTTGAGCAGTGTGATTACCTGAATCTGTGGTTCCCCCTCCAGGAGAGGGCAGCATAAGGCTGCGGCATTCACGTCTCCAGCAATGCAAGTCACAACCCCCGCACCAGCTGCGTGTGTGTGATGCCCGTGTTGTGTGCATGACGCCCACACAGCACCACCGTGTGCGTGACATCCATGCCGTATGCGTGACGCCTGTGCAGTACCACCGTGTGCGTGACGCCCGCGCCATGTGTGACGCCTGTGCTGTGTGCGTGATGCCCATGCCGTGTGCATGGCGTCCGCGCTATGTGCATGCCCATGCCGTGTGCGTGACACCCACGTGACATTGTGGCTCCCGCAGGTTCGGTGAGAAGGAGGCGTACATGGGGTTCATGAACGAATTCCTGGAGCACAACTGGAGCCGCATGAAGTTGTTCCTGCAGAGCGTGGCCAACCCTGACAGCAGTGCCCACCTGGTGGCTTACGACGGCTATGTGGACTTGGCGCTGGAGCTCTCCACCCTGCATTCGCTGCTCTGCGACATATTCACCGGCCTGGACCAGGTACTGCGGGCTGGGGGTGGAGTGCAAAAGAGCCAGTTAGGTAGGGCAGAGTGGGGGCTGTCCGTTCCCCCTGCCCCCCCCCCCCAGTTTCATACAGGAGGGGGGCTCCCAGGCGGAGCTCTTAACTGCTCAGCATTCGTGTAAAATGTGAGTTCTGCAGAGAGGTGCTTCTCCCAGCTTGTGTCCCTGGGGCAGGGAGTCAGTGTTTTGTTTACAGACAGAGGCAGGTAATTAAATGAAGGATCTGGAAGTCATTAGATGAACAAAATGGGGGGAGGGGGGAGGATAGAGCCAAGCCTTCTGAGCCAAGGTTACATTCAGAAAAGAGGAAGATGTAAGGGGCATAAGTGAAAAGAAGGGGCCAAAACCCAGGAAAGGGCTAGCAATGGTATAGAGAAGTTCCCACTCTACCTCTGGTACTTATGTGGCCCCATCACTGTAGTATCTGCGCGCCTCACATCAGAGCCCCTTGGGGAAGTAGAGCAGTGCTGTTATCCTCATGGTACAGATGGGGCACTGAGGCACAGAGACACTAACAGCCGGTTTTTTATATGTATTTAGGCACCTAGTGGGATTTTCAAAAGCGCCTGCATCTTTGGGTGCCTAAAAAACCTTATTATGACACAAAACGTCATACAGGACGTCCATTGGGGAGGGGAGTGGGGAGTAGAACGCAGGTTTCTCAGGGCTAGCTCCCTATCCGTTGGACCAGCCTTTCTCTCTGCTCCATGCTGCAAAAAAGAGGCCTTTGATAGATGGGAGCAAAACCAAGAAAGCCAGTTCACTGAGACTCCAGCGCACGGTCCCAGATGATTGGGAACAATGTCATGGCTGACAGTATCAAAAGCAGCACAGAGGTCAGGAAGGATGAAGAAAGAAAGAGAATGAGAGTCGAATGAGAGGAGATCATTTAATGGCCAAGGGGTGGCAGGTTCTGCCCCAGGCTGGGTTGTACAGCGGTGCCTGCTGTGCAATTTTAGATTTTAACTGAAAACCATTTGTGGTGCCATTTTTTGTTCTGAGTTTGACAAAAGGAAGGAATGAGAAAGTGTCGTATGAGCATCAGATGTGATTATACATCAAGTTCGTAGGGGTTCAGCTGTATTCAGGCCAATTCCAGAACTAAGAACAGAAATTGATCCACAGAGTCCATAAAGTCGATTATTATTGTCATGATTTGTGTTATTCACTCGGCACCATCTGGGTGCTCAGGACTGGTCAGAATATGCCAGAAAATGTAGTCCCTGAGCCAGTGCATATAAGCTGTGTAACTCTGGATAAGATGGCTCAGATATTTAAGTAAGAATTATTGACCCCACATGTTATCACATGGTCACTGTGATGTTTATATCTATGAGTGGAGGTGCTGATGGCAATAGAAGTTTTACTTGATTAAGGACTAGAAGATTTGACCCTCCAACTTTTTTTCAAGAAGAAAAGCTGCCCAGAGCTCCTGTGTCTGTTTATTTTCCTTTCCTACCTGCAGTGGCCCGGATATCCCTCAGAAGTCTCAATTTCCCCCCCAACTTTAAAATGTTGAATTTTCTTGGTGTTTGGTTTAAAATATTCTCCTGTGAAAACTGCAACTCAATCACTGTAGTGTTTAGGGGCCTTCTGGAAAGTTACTAGCTTTTAAACAGAAGTGAAAGCAGCGTTGCCAACTCTCATGATTTTGTCCTGAGTCTCATGATAATTATTGTTTTCCTTAAAACCCCAGCTCCTGGAGTCAAGTGATGTGTGATGAGTTCAGCCTTCATTCTTAAAGAAAAATGAAGTTTCTAGCCCTTGTGGCTGTGGAGAAAGCTTCAAAATGTGACCCCAGTGCACCCTAAAGGCTCAAAAAGCAGAATGTAAATAAAAAGAACTCAAAATCTATTATTTTTACATAATCTCATTATTTTAAAGCCAATCTCATGATTTTTGGTGAGCCTGATTTTTGATTTTTGAACATTTGGGGTTGGCAATACTATGAAAGTGACTTGAAAGTGTCAGTTTCACTCACTCCTGTTTAAAGTCATTTTCTAGTCTATCATTTGTAGTGGGGTAACACCCCTACAGCCCCAGGCAGGTGCAATATAATCTCACGGGACCTTGCCCTAATAGGATGTTTCCAAAAGTTAAATGATCTATTCCAAGCTTGATGAACTACAAGAAAGTGATAGAAAGTCATCTAGGTTTTTCTACAATTGTTTCAATTGTTGTATTCAAGATTAGTAACAAAGTAAGAATATACATTAATTTTTAAAGCTAACTAGTGTCCCTTAAGTGAATTGACACAAGATGTCAGAACAAGTATTAGAGCTGAATGGGTCTAATATTTATTTAATTTTCTTTCTTTTTATAGGAATTAGAAATTATTATCTGAGAGGAGCACTGTATCTAAGTTATTATCTGCAAAAAAATAAGAAAGTTTTCAGGTGCCAAAGTAACCTTTGGAATCACGGTTAAAGTTGGCCCCCCACCCCTACCAAAATCTGAAATGGCGCCCATGATGGGATTGAAGTGCATTGACAGAGCACATCTGCCCCCTTGTGGCCAGAAGGTAGAAAGGGCTTATCCACTGCAGGGCCCCACAGCCAGCGACCGGTGTTGCTGTGTATGTCTGGAACCTGCTAGCATCCTCGAGCATCTCCATCAGCGGAGACCGTAGGACCTGCATGGGCCACGCTGGGTTGGTCTGAGCTGGGAACTGTCTCTCTGTGGCTGTTCCAGTTGGAACCATGCTGAGCTGGACCCAGCTGGGCATCGCCCCTTGGATGTGCTGATGGGAGCTGTGCTGAGCTGACCCAGCTGGGCATTGCCCCGTGACACTTTCCACTGGTAACCAGGGTTGGGTGGTATCTTGCCGGGTTCAGCTCCCCGACTCCATCAGCCACAGGCAACACAAGCACTGCCCTCTAGGCCTCTGCAGGCCCTGCTCTCTCTGCCAGTTAGCAATTGGCACACCCCAGGCCCCAAGGCCCCTGAGTGTGTCCCTGGAGTGTCCAGCCCCTGGTCCACTGGACACCGCAGTATTCAGATTCACTGCTTCCAAGGGAACAATCCACCCCTGCTTACCAGTCCCAACTGAGATCAGTGCTCTGTTTAACACACAGCACAGATATGACTAGAGTGAAATCCACAATAGGTTTACTTAACAAAGCAGAGATTTGAGTATTAGCGAGGAAAAGGATTGGAAACTAATGGCTTCATATCAAAGAAAATCATAACACATTCTAGAACCCGGACTTGGTTAGCAAGCTACTCTCCTGGCTAATCAAGTATTGCTTGTTGTAGGAGCAGCAGTGATCTGTATGCTATGTATAACCTGTAGGCTCAAAAGATCTGTTACACTTCCCCCCCTCCACCTGGTCTCCTCTCCCTCTTTGAATATCTACCTGTGAAGTGGCTTTCCCCCACCCCTCCCTCCTGGAATGCTTGTGGGATGAATGGGCTGCTTAAACAGCTGGAAGATCCGAAGAGCTCCCAGTTAGACAAGGTGTCTGGGACTCCGATTAGGCAGCACTCACACCCCCACTGCATGGACACTGCCCAAGGTGGAGTGTGACCAACCAGATGTGGCTAAGTCATCTCTAGTCGCAGGCCATGAGGAGCAGGTCCTTAAAAGGGGAAGGGGCCATGTGCTCGGCGGTGCACTCACAAGCTTGTACCTCCCGTGAAGGCCCTTTGCCCAGACTGCCTGGCCAGTGGTTCATGCATTGCATTCCATCGTGCCTCGGGAAGACATACCTTCATCACACCATCCATCGCTGTGCTGTGGGACACTTACCTTAAAGGATCCTGACATCTCCAGTGCTGAGCCTGTCCTGGGAGCATGAGTATGCGAGTGTGAGTGGGACACCCTCTCCCCTCTTCTTTTGAGCTTAGCTATCAATATAATAAACGTGCTGCTTTCTACCAAACTCCCTTGGGTCATTAGTCCTCCCTAAGCTTTACTAGCTGGCCCAATTTCGGATAACATTGCTCACTAGAGCTTCACAGCCACTCAGGTTATGACCTTTTTTCATGAAGCAAACCACATTGCCAGCTCAGTGAAGAATCCAGGGCATCTTTTGGTACCCCTAGATACAGCAGAGCCGTCCTTCATCCTTATTCCTAAACAGAGCAGCCTTGCTGATTGAGTCTTCTATGGCTTTCCTCTCACCTTGATTTTGCAATCTTGATTATCATCCAGTTAAGCGTGCAACTAGACCTCCACTGGGAAGCAGACAATACGCCAGACACGTGCGACCAGACAGGGAGATAAGCATCTGTTACTGCTGCCCCTGGCCGTGCCAGTCAGAGCTGCGTTGCGCAAAGCTCTTCCAACAGAGCTGGCATGGCCAAGCTGGGTTTGTCTCACAGGAGACTGAGGGACACCGCTATTGGCAAACCCACAGCGGTGAATCTTCTCCCTTTGTGTTTCCCGGCAGCGAACGAGGGAGCAGTTAGAGCCCCTGCCGACCATCCTCAATGCCATCAAAGAGGGGACACCAGTGCCTGTCTCCATCAGACTTGGCCCCGGCATGGACAGGTACCTCCTCTTCCCTCCCCAGGAGCGGTGATCCATGCAGTGCAGGACTCCATGGGCCTGGGGGGTTCTGTCATTGACAGCAGCAGGAGCAGGACAGGGCTGTTGGAGTTGCCAGAAGAGCTTAGCACTGTGTGGTGATGTTGGGAGATGAGTCTTGGGAAATCCACTCCCCGCAAGATGTGCTCCAGACTGGCCTGATCCCGCCAGTGGGGCTCAGACAAGTGATGGTGCTCGTGGGGGTGGGGCCTGGCCATCATAAGGCTCGGGGGAGGGTTTGAGCTTATGTGGGGGGTTAGGAGGCAGCTCAGGTGTGGGCCTGGAGAGGGTTTGGGTCTGGAGTCTCAGGACCAAAGCTGGGCTGTGGCTTTGGGTTCCTGGGCCAGGTGGACGGGGAAGAGGGACAGCAGGGAGCGGAGACTAAGGCCTTGGCTACACTTGCAGATGTACAGCGCTGTGAGTTAAACCTGACTTCGTGCAGCTGAGTAGGGAATGCGCTGCAGTCTGTTCAAACTGACAGCTGCCCAGCGCACTGTCGTGGCCACATTTGCAGCAATTGCAGCGCTGTTGGGAGCGGTGCATTATGGGCAGCTATCCCACAGAGCACCTCTTCCTATTCTGGCGCCGTGGGTTGTGGGAAGGGGGCGTGGGTGCGGGGCATTCTAGGCCCTGTCCCAACGCCCCGTGATGCATCGCTTTGCATCCCAGAAATCCCTTTGTTTCCATCCACCTTTGGCGCCATCTTTCAACGGTTTCTGGGAAATGGAGTCCGAACTGCTGAGGCGTATGCTGACTTATCTTGCCAGCACGTCACGTTTGGCTGTCAAACTATTCCTTAAGATCCAAAGTGACAGTGAGAGTGAGAGTGAGAGTGAGGAGTCCGACGATGCTATCGAGCTGCGTAACGCGTACGACACGAAATTGCTTGTGGCATTCACGGACATGCTCAGCACCGTGGAACGCTGCTTTTGGGCTCGGGAAACAAGCACCGAGTGGTGGGATCACATCGTCATGGAAGTCTGGGATGACGAGCAGTGGCTGCAGAACTTTCGGATGAGAAAAAACACTTTCATGGGACTGTGTGAGG